CGGCAGCCCACTGACGGATCAGTCAGAGTCTCATGGGACTCCCTCCCCACAGAGGACTTCCCGTCGACGTGCTGCAAACGCGCACGGTAACGCGGAAAAATCAGGATCACAAGAGTTGAACACTGCACCCACCGAATCCTGTGCTCCTTTGCTGACAACAAATGCTACCGCCACAGCGGCATCCTCGGACGAATCATCCAGATCGGTTCCCGCAACTGTTAGTTTAGATACTCCTGCAGCGGAACAAAATCCCGTTTCCATTGAATCTATGCCGGGATCAGAAAACCCCGATGTGGAATGTGAGGAGAGTCGAGATAGTGTCAGAGAGGATAGCTATTCAGCCCGCTTTTGGCAGAGAGCTATAGGTGGTAAGCAGTTTCTACATGCACGTATCCGGTTTATACATAGACGTTTGTTTTGGTGCATGTTTTCCCGTGCTTATCAAGGAAGAACAAGCTGGCCTGTGATTAAAGAAGTTAGCAGAAGTTCCGTTGCATGCAGATTAGTCCTAAATCTCAATTCGAAAGGGAAATAGTCATGAATCACCCTGATTGGAAACTGAGAGAAGTGTTTCTTCGGTGATCAAATTTCGTCACCGCTGTTGATGTTTTGAGAAGTAAAAATGCCCAGTCCTTGTTCCGGCAAAAAGAATCATAAATTTGGTTACCACCATAGTAGGGCAAATAGGAGCTCTCACACGTATTCGTATTCGTGACCCACCAAATACGTTCAGTCAACGACGGGAGAGGTTGGGTGACATGGCTTCCTGTCGTGCATTGTTACTTCTATCACCCACTCACACAGTCATCGGGATGGCAGTCTTACACCCCGGTTTCGAACTGCCGAGATTCCCGGTTTCCTGTTTCTCGTATAAACCACCACAGGCGGGAACTTTTGCCAAATCACTACTGTACAAAGTTAACGGTTATCAAAACTGAATTAATCAGTCATTTAGTATATGGTTCAGTTGTGATATTGACCTGACTTTGACATCATATTGAGTGATATTCTCTCTCAAATCTACCCCTAAGGTTTAACATTCGCATGTTTTCTCTTTTTCGCGAATCGCAGGAGGCGAATCCCCTCCATCGTATAACTCCGATGAGGATGAGGATTATGCACCAAGTGTGGAAAGTGGGCACGATTGGCGTGGGGTGAGTATGCATTGTGTATGTGTGAGCTTCAGTGTAATGTTTTGATTGCCTTTATTTTGACCGATAGCTGTCAGTCATGTCGTATCATGAATGCGAATCTTATCGCCATCTCTCCAAGCTCTTCCATTCTTGTATCTGACTGGTTTCATAGGAAATCCATGTTGGCGATGAATACCAGGCGTCAGTACCTCCTTTTAATGCCCACCCGGGCGAGCTAGTGGACTGGTGGGATACTCGTCGTTTCGAGATTGAATCCAGTTTATTATGGCAGCCAGGAAAACTGCCGGAAACAGATGTGGTCCGATTTGAACGTTTGTTTGCCCAGACCGTGATGTTCCCGTTGCCAAGTGAACGAACAGTTGACGATGAAGAGGTGAGTATGCACCTTTGATAATATCCCTTGTCGCACACATCAGTCACAATATGCTATGTTTTCCACCGATGAATCGGCTTCCAATCCACACTACATATTCATCGGTACTATGGGGGAAGTATCAACCATTGTCACTGTATATTGCACTGTATAACCCTTGAATTCTGTTTCGTAGCACGGAGCGTAGAGACGGACAACACACGTCTCGCACAGGAACAGCATATACGGAACGAAGCTGCGCCACTCTTCCAGAGTCACACAATTGTCTCAGATCTCACTGAGACTTTGCTACTCAATCACAGAAGGACGTCAATTTAGTGCAAAAGAGTGCAGGACAACCGGGACTCACGACCCAATCCTTGGCTTGTATTCACACGGCAATCCGACAGCACACTGCCAAACGCGAGGATCAAATCTCTGCTTCTCGCTTGCTACACAGAGATAACACGAATAAATGAATGTTGCTCGGTATCTGATGTTACGGCAGCAAGACGAGCAGAAGGTAGGGTGGTAAACAGCAAAACAACAACGGGGGGGGGGAGTCCCCATTCATATTGCCTCTGACAGCGTTAGGCCATACGACCATGGCATTCAGTGCGAAAATTAGAATAGTTTGTGGTGAAAAAATCGAATTAGTGTAAAAGTGAAACTGGTAGCGTTGCTCGTAAAACGAACAATTTTAGGGAAAATATACAGCAACCAATGAGTAAAAATGAGACATGGGTGGTCTTGATCGTCCTGTTACTGACATTCCGTATTGTTACATTTCTTGTTATCGAACCAATTTCCCCTATCCGATTCAAGCGGTGCTCTTGATTCAGACTCAAGTGTGTGTGATAACCGTTTGAATCACTAATGTTCATCGGTCCCCATAGATCGTAACATTATCGCTCCACCATGGTGATCTTACTCTTGAAGACCACCTCAGGCCTCAACCGACGATAACGCGTATGATTTAGGGGGTTTATTCCTGTTTTACTGTAGGTTTCAATTAAATAAACTTATGTCAAATCACAATAAGCTTTATGGATTGTGGTTTCGCAAACGAATGCAGTAGAGAGAAAAAAATTTCACAAAAGGGTGCTGAGATGAAATACTGTGAAAGTAACAAAAGGAAGTACCAACATATTGAGTTAAAATACCTGCAATCAGTTCATTTCCATCTTTGGATCTTTGGAACACCACAGCAACGATAGAGCAGTTTGATGGGTGCAGAATCTTTTGTTTCGAACCAGTAACTATCTTGACAAACAAACCACCCATACTGAGGAATGCATACTATCATAAACTCAAGGAATACAATTTGGCAAACAGCAAATTTTCCCAGTATGAAAGAATGGTTGGTGAACCGTGATGTATACATTTGCATCCGGTTTCCGTCGAGTTAACTAATTCGGGCATTTTAAGAAAAGAAAAGCAGTTTGACATTGGGAACCGGTTTGGTGATTGGAAAAAAGGGACATCAACCCATTTATGACCATAGGGAATCGGAACATAGACCAGTTGAAGTCGTAACGAATATCGTCTCGAAGTCTCGAAGTTTGTTACTCCAAACGACCATCGTGT